TCCAACAATGATTTTAAATCAATTTTTGAGTATTTGACATGAATAATATTTTTTATTATCGAAAGTTTTCTAAAGTAGATAAATCCCAACTCAAAGAAACATCCTGAGAGACAATTAATTTAGATGGAAAAAAAAACATAAAAAAGATAACATGTAATTATGAAACATACAAAAAATATGTAAAATTAAAAATCAAATAAAATAATATGGTTCCCTCTTCATATTCCTAAGTATAATATTATTACTTGGATGGCTCTCCTTGACATATTACCAACCAAGGATAGGTTGATTTGAATGGGGTTCATTCAACATTGAAGGTAAATGTGTACTTTGTAATGACTCGATGGAAACTAGAGATCATTTGTTTTTTCACTGTACTTTGGCAAATTCGATATAGAACTCTATTATGAATCTCAATGGCATTTGCAGAGGATCTTGTTCGTGGGGTACTCACCTTTCGTGGGCATGTGCTTCCTAGAAAGGAAAATCATTGCTAACTACTATCATAAAGCTAGTTTGGACTACTTTTACTTACACTATTTGGGAGAAGAGGAACAAAAAAATTTACCAAGGACTCTCAAGAAATATTGATGACTTACTCCTTGCTATTAAAGATTTTGTTGCTATTCAACTAAGGGGTAGAGAAATTAATAGAAATGGCTATGTTAATAGCGTGATTTGTATTCAATGGGGTATAGATTATTTATGTTTTGTTTTGATGTTTACAGTTTGAAAGTATAGGTATTTTTGTAAGAACATGTATTTTTTTGAAGAAGTTTCTGTTCTTTTTGATATAAAAATTGATTTATCCAAAAAAAAAAAAAGAACAAAACTCTGGTGAAGAGAAGAATAAGGAAAAAGGAAATGAGAAAATTTAGAAGGAAGATGAAAACGCCTAATAGAAAAATGAAATGAAAGAAAAAGACCTTAGAAGTGAATATATAATTAAAAAGTACTTTAGATTAAATCAGATTTAAGATTTTTACTTTAAATTTGACTCGTTTAACCCCGATTAATTTTCTCAAAATCCACCTTAAATTCAAATTAAAAAAATTAAACAATCTTTACAAGATTAAATAGAATTGAAATTAGTTGAATCCAATTAATTTTACCATGGACTCCCAATCAAACTAGAAAAAAAATTAACTGACCCTATTCCCATATGTTAAGAGAACTTCCGTGGGAGACCTCCGACAGTCAGAATTATGAATTGCTCACCGTGAGAATCGATCTCACAACCACAAGATTAAGAACCTTGCGCTCTTACCGATCAAACTAGAAGAAACCCAAAAAACCCTTGAAAGTCCATTTCATAATCATTTTCAGATGCTCGAGGGTCTCCGGTCTTTATAAACATTCATATAGCACTTTTTGAAGTTAATACGAGACAGACAGAGATGACAGTCCAACTTATTTAAACTTTAAAAGCAATCTTATTTCTTGCTTCGTAGTTCCTACTAAATTCCAACGTTTCTGTGTCTCAAAAGATATCAGCTAAGCTAAAAACCAAGCATGAATATGACACAATGACAAACAGGTTGTGCCCGTTGCCTCACTTTGGAGTTCGAATTCAATACTCAGATCAAACAAAGAGAAGCAGAGAAAGAAACGCAAACCATATATGCCCAGTGCTTAACTTAATTATAGCAACAATTATCTAAATTTAGATAAATATGGGTTCAAGTACATAAAAAATGGGTTAGTTAAATATGGCAGAAAGGTCGTTGAATTGAAGGCACGATTGAGGTTGAGACAAAGGGTAGTTTTGTTTGGGCGCCAACGACAACCACCATCGAAACGACAGCCTCTGGCTCTGGAGCCCCGACCAGGCAAAGGGCTGTCGTCGTTTTCCCGACATGGCGGATGTTTTCATTACCTGGGTCTCAGCTTTTAGAATCGTGTTTTCTCTCCTTTTCCTGGTCGCCATAGCTTCTGTTCTCCTTTCCATTCCCATTGAAAAGGCATTTCCTTTTTCTTACATTCATATGCTTGTTTTGCTTTCTTATAAGATGATCTTATAAATAATTGATATTCCAAAATTGTATCTTTTTTTTCATATTTGCATCTCTGCGACTTTATTAATCAAAAAGAATCGAAGATGCAGACGGTGATGTGTTTTCTGTTCTGGGTCTCAGCACAAATGCATTCATTCTTGGCCGAACGGTGAGTCTTTCGAACCGGGGTGTGATGTTTATGACTACCTGAATATAAGCTTACCTTTTATTTACAGAAAGAAAGTTTCTAATGAATTTTATTTGCTTTTTTCTGGCAGTTGGGAAGATCCTATTTGATATCTAAACTAAGGAATTATCCAAAGTTACAGGCTGTTGCTAGTGCAATTGAGACATCAGTTTAACAAAATAAAGGAACGGAGGTGTATTCGCACAGTTTTTTAAGGGATCAAGCTCCTCAGTTTAACAAAATAACATAGGTGGAACAATGTTGCTGCTTAGCCTCTTCCATGGTTCCTTCTATATTGTTTTGCACATTTTATTTAAATGCTAAGTAGCTAATTTGTCAGACAAAGATGAGTGAAATGAAATGAAAGATGAATAAAAATGTACTGTCGTTAAATATGAGGTCATATACCAATTTAGGTTGCTAATGGAAAAGATATATGTGCACCAGGCTCCTTGCTTGTTAGTAAAGAAATAAATTACCTCCGAAGAACTAGGAAGCAGTTCCTGCAATGTTTGATACCTTCAGCGATTCGTATCTTGCGTTGCTGTATACATAGAAAGATATTATCCAAGTAACATGCTTGAAAATCCAAAATCAAATAATGGTACAGCATCCACATTCCAAATCCAGTTATATTTGTTGGGGTCATTTATTACTAGTATGTTTAAAGGCTAGGAAAGATAGTATACTTACACGATCGTTTGCAGGAGCTCTTGGTTTGGGTACACGGCACTGTGGTTTAGACCAGAAACTGGGTGCATCAAATGTTCCCTTTGATTGAAAGTGACAATCATTTGGTTCTTGCATACAGAAAGCATTGTTTTGCTGAAAGACACAATGTTGCATTATGAGTAAGTTCTTTTAGTTCTAAGTTTGAACAGGTTCTTGATGCGAGAGTCTCAGATGCATGCAACATAATTGTAACATAGAGAAAGAAGTTAACCTGTGCATGGAATTCATATTCCGCACTATAAAATGTGTTCGCAGATAGTCTATCATGTTGCCTCAAAAATATGTCCTGCAAGAAAAGCAGTTTTATCAGAAATTATCCCTGCTGGAAAGAAGAAAAGGCAGTTTTGCTTATACACTTGCAGAAGCTTCATGGTTGTTGATTCAGTAGAGGAAGCAGATAGCTTTAGATTCCCATGCTCTGGCTCAAGGGAAAAGGCATCTGGACCAGAGCAGAAAGCCTTTCTTTGAATTTCAGATATCCCATCAACAGCATGTATGCCACTAACTGGAGAACCAATGCTCTCTTAACACATCAGCAGTAGGAACCTCTTCAAGACTCTCTGTTAGAAATTCAACATAACTGTGAGGCATTTTGAGACACTCAATCCACTGAGACAAGGATTGGAGACTAGGCCGATTTGTGTTTCTCCCCGTCGCCCTGAGTAATACCGGGTTCGTATCATCCACATAGCCATACGAGAAATCATTGACATTCCTATCAGAATTCAGTGACATCTGAGGGTTCTCATGACCAGGTTGTCCATCCATATCTCCAAAAGTAAAATCAATTGGCCCTTAACTGGACAAATAACTAGACAAAAACAAAGAATAAATCAATTTCTACTACGATAAAATACTTATAGCAGACACATCATCAACATGTTGCAGCAAGAATAATGAAAAGGGGCACTTGGTCATGGTGAAAAGAGAAAATTGTAGCTCATAATTTTAGCCTAATTCTCAAAGCTTGCAATCATCTTCTCCACAACCCAACAAAACAAAACAAAATTTAAGCAGGGTTTCCTAAAGCTCAACAGGCCAAAGAAAAAGAACACCCAACAAACAGCTCATACGGAGCCATATATACAAAGAAGAAATTAGAAGTGCAAGTTGAGAAATAAGAAGAAAAAAAAGACTACAACTTCCTGGATATTAAAGCGTTAAAAGGAAGACGACCTTGTTACAAATCGAAGGAGAACAATTTTTTTTCCCAAAGTTTTAGTTAAGGCAAATCACTAGAGCTAAAGAGTAAAACATATTTAATCAACCTATATTCATGTATTTTTACGTCATGAAAGTTGAGAACAACTTAAATTGGAGATCAAACGCGAGGTTTTAGAAACAGGGTTTAAAAAGGGGGAGAATAGGGGCAGGGGCGGGGCTAGTCCTTTGGCAGTCACCTTCGCTTGGGGTATTAGTGTACGTACATTTTATAACAGATCATTTCAGCTGCAGGCTGCAGCAGATGATGCTGAGGGGGTTCGCTGGAATTACTATTTTGCCACTACACTAGGCTCAATCCGGTTCGACGGGCTCAAGAATTGCCAGGCAGGCCCATAACTTTGGGGTTACCACACGAACAACTGGACATCCGAAGAGAATCATTACTAAAACAGATTCCTCTGTTGTTTCCTCCACCTACATCGCCATTTGTTTGCTTATCACAGCTACATCCAGTTTGCACCTTGGAACAATCCTTTTATCTTTAAAGTCTTGAGTTTTGACGGGAAGACAAAATTTTAAAATTTTATATAAAAAATATATTTAAAATTTTAAAATTTTTAAAAAGGACAATCGTCCCACTTCCCTCCTCTAAATCCATCTCTTGTCAAATTACGTGATACATCATAGTATAAAATAAGTTTTCATTCTCATGAGTAATATTTTGGATGTTATTTAACTAAATAATTAAATATAATAATATTACTTTAGTAAAAATGCCCCGACTTAGAATTTGTCGAGGGTGAGAGCCTAAGTTAATGGATGGCCCAACATTAAATCAATTGGTCCAGCTACGTCGTCGTTTTCTTATGAAGACATTTTAGCTGTGGCCCGAGCCCTAAATCACCTCCGACTTCGAAGACCTGGCGGAAGCAGCAAACAGGTCCGCTTCTCTCTCTTTCCCGCTTCTTTGGATTAGCTTTTACTTTTATCGCCTTTTGCATCAAGCTCTTCTTCTGCTCTCTCATCTCAACATGAAGCTCGTCAGGTCAGTTTCACTTTCCCTCTTTAAACTCAACTCCTGATCAGATAATCGTGTCTCCTCTCCGTGTTTAACAATTATGTCCAAAAAAATAAAACGTCTTAGATCTCTTTATAATCGGATTCGGTTTGTAAAACATTGTGCAGGTTTTTGATGAAGCTGAACAATGAAACGGTTTCGATTGAGCTCAAGAACGGAACTGTCGTTCACGGCACCATCACAGGTTCCTCTATTTTTCCTCGTCTCTTTTCCCCCCTACATTAGGGTTTACCTAAACCCTAATCCTGCGCTTTAGCCAAGTTGTCCGCTATAATCATGATTTTCACCTCAATTGTGTATTATATCGCTAGCCTTTTGGTTACACTGCTAGCATTAAAAATTGTGAACAGACTTAGGTGTTCTGGCATGATTTCAGTTATTCATTGTTGTACCTTTTAAGATGGAACTGTTTTGTACTTGATCTGCTTTTGACTATAAAACATCACGCCTGATAAACTATTCAACTGTTTTTATTTTTATCAATTTTGAGGTATAATGTATTATCATGACATGCTTCTCATTCTAGATGAAAGTGCGTTAATTGCTGGTTCTCTTTATAAACTTAGATGTTTACTATATGCACAGTTTATTGTCACCTTCTTGTTGTTATTGGATGACTTGGTGTAGTTTTATTAAATGACATGCTTATTTTCTACTCTCTGCCTTGCTGACTAGTTGGAGAGTAAAATGAAACCGCTAAATCCCTCTTGGCTATCTAGACCATGACAATTACTCAATTGGTACCACATTGCATTGTTTAAATTACTACTCTCATGAAACAAATGGATTTTGGCAAGATACCCCTTTATTTGTTTAGCTTCTTAACGTCTCATATTAGGAATATACTTTTGGCTTTCATGTCATGAGAATTCCATAGTTACTGCTATTAACGTTAATAATAACAAACTTTGAATCCATTATCCTTCTGGAAAAGATGCAATGGTTTTCTTTGGCATAGCTGATCATCAGTTACGACATTTTAAGCTCATGATGATTTCTATAGTGGAGAAGTAGAGTGATGCTATCTCAAAAAGAGGGGTAAAAGATTCCAAGAGCATATGCTATGTACTTTAATTCAAACTTGCATAGACACGAGTCTTTTTGCTTGAAGTCAAGATCCCCCTTTATCACACATTTCACAGTAGCTATAAGCCTGTAATAGACTTTTCTTCTGGCCTCCCGATAGCAGATTCAGTCTCCTACATTTCTGGATTTCTTGCTCACAAATGTACTGAATGTCTGTCATTCTTTCTCATGTTGTATTCCTGTAATCAAAAGTTCTCTGTCAGTGTTCAAAGACAGTTAAATAATAGTCTGGGTGGTTTCCTGATTGAACATACATTTTGGCATGCAATTTTTCTTGACTGATTGATTTGCTATGTTTGTTTAGGTGTGGATGTCAGTATGAACACCCATTTGAAAACAGTGAAACTTACATTGAAGGGCAAAAATCCTGTGAGTTTGGATCACCTTAGTGTGAGGGGTAACAATATTCGCTACTATATCCTGCCTGACAGCTTAAATCTTGAGACATTGCTGGTTGAAGAGACGCCAAGGGTGAAGCCCAAAAAGCCAACTGCTGGTATTGCTATTTCTTTCCGGCTTCTTTTTACTTTGTTTGAATGCCCTTGTATAAATATAAACTTGTGTTCTTGTAGTATTTGTCTTTATATTCCATTTCCAAATTCAGGCAGGGCTTTGGGACGTGGAAGAGGTCGTGGGCGTGGGCGTGGACGTGGTCGAGGCCGTTAAATATGTTGCTCGTTTTTTAAATTTTAGTGACAGCTGGGTGTGTAGACAGCTTTGTTGTAGTGAGAATTTGTGGGTGATGATACGTATTTAAAGGAATTGTATTGGTATTTTACTACTATTTGTGATTATTTATTGGATTGGCTTACATGAATTCTGAGATTCCCAGCGCCGGCTGAGGCACGAACAGCCTTGGATTATCATATGATCCAACCAAGTGCTAACACAGTACTGTTTTCTTTTAGATTACCGTTGGTAATTTAATAAAAAGTATCGTAATCTCTCCTTAATCAAACTCTATTTTAAAAGTCCACAAACAGTTGCCATGATACGCACCGTTTTGCCATTTAATGATACATGTCGTTTTAGGCTTTATGTTTTTAATTAGTATGATATCGTTTGATGTTTGTGTCAAATGGCAAAGGGGAAAACTATATTTTAAAGTTTTATCCAATCTGTTCAGGGTGCTTAGTAATTATACAAGTCCCAATTATATTCAAATTTTAATTGGATAAAACTTTTAGATATAAAAATAATATTACCTTTTAAATATGGAGTAAATTTAAATTCAAAATTTTATTTAAAATATCTTAACCTACCCCACAGATGACGGTCAAAGTGACAGAATTATCAGTTGAGCTTGTTTGTTTGTTATGGTTCTGGTGTCATTTTCTGGAAACAGCACGTTCCGATTTTGGGGATGCAAAATCAGCCACGTCTGCAAATGTGTTCCACGTCTGCAAAATCAGCCACGACGAGCGACGGCTGCTGGGGGTGGCTGACGATCGTGGCTTACTCATGAGGTGACGCCGGTGCGGTTAGTAACGGCAATGAATGCCACAGCTAGACGTAGGTCGATGAACGGAGGGACGATGAGGGTAGCAGGTTTGGGCTGAAGGAATTCTCTGCAATTTTAATTTTGGGGTTTTTGCTTCCATCGATGAGAACACTTTTTTTTTTACAAAGACCGATGGAACAATCATGTTACAAGGCCCCAAACAATCAGAAAGTTTGTAAACGACCCCAAAATTTCCAAATTTAGCAGTTTGATCCTAACTACTATTCAATTAAAATAAATTAACTTAAGCAATGAAAATCGGGGTGTGACACTGACACCTACCAAGAGGAATGATGGCTATTTTGTGCAGTGGAGAGAAGGGACCAGTTGTCCCGTTGCTCCCGATGATGAGGGAAATCATTGTTGGCATGCACGCTAGATTGGGAACCAGATCCGACGTGGACGATGGAAGCTTTTGGAAACCCTAGAGGCAACGACGACGTTTGAAGGGTTACAAACCCTAATTGCTTCATGCATGGAAGACTGTTGGATCTCAAACAGATCCAACAACTGATAGTTGGTGGCGCAGGGACAATACTAAAAACCCCTAGTTGTGTTGTATCTTGCACGTGGACTTGCTTGGGTCGATCCTTGCTTTTGGTTGCTAATTGTGTAATTTGGGTTGCTGTAATTGATCTTTGTAACATAGATTTTGAAGAATAAAATAAATAAAAATATTAAACTAGTTATTTATTTAATAAAAGTATAACATATATTCCTAGATTTAAGTTAATTAAATTAATTGACCGTCATTAATATATATATAACATAATTAATAAAATTCAATTTATTTGTTATAAGTATGTATAAATATTAGCCCAAACATCAAAAGCAAACAATTAAAATAAACCCAAAGTAAAAATTAAAGGCTCAAAAGTAAAAAAAGAAAATAAAATTTCCGGACAAAAATAGTATCTACAGAAAGAATAAGTAATTCACGATGGACGGAATCCTTATTTTCCATAGAAAATGAATAAAAATGTTGAAAAATTCTAGAATTTGGGTCCTGTTGCGGAAGACGGCTATCGGATAGAGCAAAATCGCAACTGATAATTTGAGAAAATAAAAATGAAGATAAAAGAGACACAAAAATTTACGTGGAAAACCCCTGAATAATATAGAGTAAAAACCACGGGCAACAGTAGAAGAATTTCACTATGAGAAAATAGGAATTACAACTTCTCTCGATCTACCAATGAGAAAACAATGATAATTCTCTCTTGATAAAAAGGAGAAAACAAACTCTCAAGAAACTCTCTAAATTCTCTCGAGTATTGGAAGAAAGCTAGAATGCTTTGGGATGGTTTTGAAGCTAAATGAGCTAAGGTATTTATAGTTGAAACCTAAGGACTAATCTTGTAAATACCCTAAAATTAAAGTGACTAAATTGGGTATTTTACCCTTGCTAATTTTCAACAATTTGCAACCATTTTAGACTAATATTAACCGCCCATATGCTAAATTCATTTTTGACTTTCAACAATCTCTCACTTGAAGAATTGATTGAAACAATCATATCTTCACACCATTTTTTCTACCTTATACCATCATGTTGCTTACGTTTCTGACAGACCACAAGAGGATCGACACCAGTTAAATTTATCAGTATTGATTGCCTTCGTCATGAAATTTGCTATGTTGTCTTTAGTATGGATCTTCTGTATATCTACCGTTCCTTCTTCCATCTTTTCACGAATGAAATGGTACTGAACTCGTATGTGCTTTGTCCTTGAATGAAATGATGGATTCCTTGCTAGATGCAAGGCGCTTTGACTGTCACAAAACAAATAGACATACTCTTGATTGTGCCCAAGCTCCTCCAGTAACATCTTCAACCAAATTGCTTCTTTACTGGCTTGTGTAGCTGCTACATATTCTGCCCCTGTTGTGGATATAGCCATAACTGACTGCAATTTTGAAACCCAGCTTACAGCTCCACCAACAACTTTGAACACATATCTTTTAGTAGATTTGCTTTTATCCAAATCCCCTGCATAGTCAGAATCTCCATACCCATTGATTAGTAAGTTTGATCCTCCGTAACATAATGCAACATTTGAGGTCCCTTTGATGTATCTCAGGATCCTCTTTACTGTATTCCAATGCTCTTTTCCTGGATTCGCCATGTACCGACTAACCACTCCCACTGCTTGAGCAATGTCTGGTCTTGTGCATATCATAGCGAACATTAAACTTCCCACTGCTGATGCATACGGTACTCGAGACATCTTCATCCTCTCTTCTTCACTACTAGGACTCATACTGGAGGATAATTTGAAGTTAATAGGAAGACGGGTAGAAATTGGCTTACAATCTTGCATGCTGAATCGTGACAAGATCTTCTTCAAGTAATTCTTTTGTGAAAGCGAAATCTTCATATTACTTCTGTCTCGGTGAATTTGCATCCCTAGAATCTTGTTTGCTGATCCCAAGTCCTTAATTTCAAATTTCCTAGCCAGTTGTGCCTTCAATTCTTCAATATGATCTTTGTTGGGTCCTGCAACCAACATGTCATCCACATACAACAGTAATATAACAAAATTGTTATCACCAGACCTCTTGAAATAAGCACAAGGGTCTGCATTAAGTCTGCTGTATCCAAGGCACATAATGAAGGAATCAAATCTCTTATACCAACACCTCGGCGCCTGCTTTAGACCGTACAGAGATTTGTTCAACCTGCAAACCAAGTTCTTCTTTTCTTTTTCTTCAAAACCTTCAGGCTGGAGCATATAAATTTCTTCTTCAAGATTTTCATGAAGAAAAGCTGTTTTAACATCTAGCTGCTCTAGATGTAAGTCCAATGTAGCACACATTGCCAAAACTACTCGAATTGTTGTTAGTCGAACCACATGAGAAAATATTTCATTGAAATCAATACCTTCTTTTTGAGCATATCCTTTGACCACCAGTCTTGTACGATACCTCTCAACTTGATCGTCACCATTTCGCTTGATTTTGAAGACCCATTTGTTACCAATTGGCTTCCTTCCTTGTGGTAGTGGCACAAGGTCCCATGCATTATTTTTATGAATGGCTTCGATTTCTTCTTGCATCGCCATCATCCACAGTGAAGCATCTGAGCTGTTTATTGCCTCCTGGTATGTTGATGGCTCACCGTCCTCTGTTAAAAGACAGTATGCAATATTACCTTCTATAACATAATCTGAGTGCCAATTGAGACGTCTTCTCACAAGATCTGATTGACGAGTTGTTGAACCTTCAGAACTCTCTGGTTCTTGTTCATCATGTGCTGGTTCTGCTTCAGAATAATCTCCTTGTTCAATCTCCTTTTCCACATGTATCTGTGTAGTCTCTGACTTTTCAGCACTATCATTGTCTTCTTTTCTTTGTAGTTTATCTTCTATAAAGATAACATCTCTACTGATGATCACTTTGCGGGCAGTGGGATCCCACAAACGATACCCCTTTACACCATCAGCATACCCTAAGAATTTGCATTTCCTGGATTCTGGATCTAGCTTTGAAATTTCTTGGGAGTTGTACATCACGTACACAATACTTCCAAATACATGGAGGTTTAAATAATCAGCTGGTTTACCAGTCCACATCTCCATTGGTGTCTTCAGCTCTATTGCAGTTGATGGAGCTCGATTCACCAAATAACAAGCGGTATTGACTGCTTCTGCCCAGAATGATTTTCTAAGACTGCATCCCTCAACATTGCTCTTGTTCTTTCTAACAAGGTTCTGTTCATCCGCTCTGCCACTCCATTTTGTTGAGGAGTGTTCGCCACTGTGAACTGCCTTTTGATGTCTTCTTTCCTGCAAAAGTCATCAAATTCTTCACTTGTGTATTCTCCTCCATTATCTATTCTGAAACACTTGATCTTATTTCCAGAATCAAGTTCCACCCGCGCTTTGAAGTTTTTGAAAGTTGAAAACACGTCTGACTTCTTCTTAATAGGGTGCACCCAACATCTCATGGAGTAGTCATCAATAAATGAGACAAAGTATTTTGCTCCACCTAGGGATGTTACTGGTGCTTGCCATACGTCAGAGTGAACCAATTCTAGAACACTTTTGCCTCTAGAATTTGATGTGTTGAATTTCAACCGGTGCTGCTTACTTGTTATGCAATGCTTACACAAAGTAAGTGATACATTTATTAAGCCTGGAAGTAGCTTTTGCTCCACAAGGACTTTCATTCCTTGTTCTGACATGTGTCCAAGTTTCTTATACCATAGCATTGCAGAATCTGAACTACATGAGGCAACAGAGGCTTCTGCTTCTAGCAATGTCTCTCCCTTCAGCATGTACAAGTTTGCAGCTATCTTTTCACTTTTCAGCACCACAAGCGCTCCACGGAACACCTTCATGATTCCTTTCCATGTTTCAATCTTGCTAGCATTATTATCCAACAATCCGTAGGCTAATAAATTTTTCTTCAGACCTTTCACGTGCCGCACATCTCGAACAACTTTAATTGTTCCATCATACATCTTTAATTTGATGGTTCCCACGCCAATGATTTCTAAGGCATGATTATTGCAACTATACACAGATCCTCCTGAGGCTGGTTTATAATGATGGAACCATTCTCTTCTTGAGGTCATGTGATATGTTACTCCCGAATCAATGAGTCATATATCTGCAAATCGTTTTCTTCCTTCCACGGTGGTTGACGCTTCACAACATAGAGCATCTCCATCATCTGAAGTGTTTGTGGTATTGCCTTGTGGATTGGAGTTTTTATTTAGACTCCAACAATCCTTCTTCAAGTGACCATTCTTTCCACAGTTGTAACACTTTAAATTCTTCTTGCTTCTCGACTTTGATATACCATGTTTATGACTGCTGCTTTGGCCACGTTCTGTTGATCTCCCTCTCATCGTTGTCAACGCTTCTGCTTGTTGCAGATTTACTTGTCTGTCTTCCTTGTTCTTGCGCCGATTTTCTTCTTGTAGAACAGCAGCTGCAACGTCATCGAAGACTAGACTGGTGACATTACTGTTTATCAAGTTGATGATAAGTTGATCGTACGAATCCGGTAGACTTTGAAGTAGAAGTTCAGCACGTTCTTGTTCTCCTATTTTACAGCTTAAGGATGTAAGCTGAGAAAATAAGGTGTTTAGTGTATTTAAGTGCTCCGTCACTGAAGTAGATTCTGACATACGGAGAGTGTACAATTTCCTCTTAAGGAAAATTTTATTGTTCAGCGATGTGGCTTCATACAATTTGATGAAATGATCACATATCTCCTTAGCTGTCTTCTTCTCCTCGATGCTTGACAATACTTCATCTGCTAATGCTAGATGAAAGTTTGCCATAGCATTCCCGTCCATCTCGTTCCATTTGATGTCATCTGCGAAATCCACCGGCCTTTCATTGATAGCCACTAGACACCCGTCTTTCCTTAGGATGGTCTTCATCTTCAATTTCCACAATGAGAAATTTCTCCCATTGAATTTTTCAATATCAAATTTCGTTGCCATAGCTTCTTTTACGGATAGCTCCCACTATTTCACTATCGTGAATAGTTCTCTGGAACCTTCAAAGAATGGGTAATAACTTCTTATTTTCTTATGTTGGAGGATCCACCTTTTGGTGGCAACCATAAAGACAATAAGCAGATATTACACACTCTAATCTAGCTCGGATACCAATTGTTGTGGAAGACGGCTATCGGATAGAGCAAAATCACAACTGATAATTTGATAAAATAAAAATGAAGATAAAAGAGACACAAAATTTACGTGGAAAACCCCTGAATAATATAGGGTAAAAACCACGGGCATCGGTAGAAGAATTTCACTATGAGAAAATAGGAATTACAACTTCTCTCGATCTACCAAAGAGAAAACAATGATAATTCTCTCTTGATAAAAAGGAGAAAACAACTCTCAAGAAACTCTCTAAATTCTCTCTAGTATTGGAAGAAAGCTAGAATGCTTTGGGATGGTTTTGAAGCTAAATGAGCTAGGATATTTATAGTTGAAACATAATGACTAATCTTACAAATATCCTAAAATTAAAGTGACTAAATTAAGTATTTTACCCTTACTAATTTTCAACAATTTACAATCATTTTAGACTAATATTAATCGTCCCATATTAACCGCCCATATGCTAAATTCATTTTTAACTTTCAACATGTCCTTCGTAGAAGGTCCAAAAAGGCAAATGCTGGTCGAAATTTGTTCCCATCATCTCATCGACATCATGCGGCAAATGCATTGCTGGCCTAGGCATATCAAAACTGCCAACAAGTTGGCATAGGAATCTCAAATCTTATCTTCTAGAAAGCTCATTTTTGTTCTTTCATGCGGTAAATTACACCTAACCCAATCTATTATGATCGTCCTCATCAATTGTATCTGTCGGTTTCTAAAGTGTCTCCACCCCAAAGAAATATATTAAATATTTATGCACTTTCACTTGAGTTCTAATTTCATTTTACTTTTAAAAAATAATTTTTATTTTTGATAAGATTGCTAATTATTCCGAAACGAAAATTTGACAAGATTGGTATTATTTAATTTATGATTTTGACGTTTGGGTTACACATTAATAGTTTAGAAATTGCAGTAGGTGGTCCGGTGAGATAGATTTCAAGTTTTTATCAGAAGACAATATTGGAACAACCCATATTAAATACCCTTTAAAATAAATAAAATTCTCTCTCTTTTTTTTTTTAGTTGGTTCTCACTGATTTTGCATTTCTCCTGAGACGTGTGTAGATGGTCTTAATCTTCTAAGATATGGCTAAAATGGTATAATGGTAAAAAGAAAAGCCCTCGTTGTTCGTCACCTTTTCAATTGTGGTTTTGAAGTTTTTAATTGATCATTTAAATTTTCAGATAAAGTCCTTTTGGACGTTTTATTGGCTATCAACGTATTCAGTGAATGCACCCCCGAGTAGAGTAATGGAAAATTTATGTATATTCGATAATTAAATAATATTTTTTATTATTTTATCTAAAGGTGAGATAAAATTAGAATTGAAGAGTAAAAAGATATAATAACACAAGAACATCAACGTTTATTTTTTTAACTGTAATTTTAACATTTTTATGTTACTTGAGAAAACATGATCCTTAGTTACTGCTCAAAAATAGTTTATTTGAAAAAAATTAAGATTTAAATCGTTAAGTAAAAAACTTCAAGGGTATAATTAAAAAAGATGAAAACATTGAGAGCCTTTTTTTTACTATTAAGCCAAAAAGCACACATGGATTGAAATAACAGTACCATAAGAACATACCAGGGTTTCGAATAGCAACTAATAATGGTGTCGCGGCCGTTATATTACGGTCGCCGAAACAAATATCACGAAAAATAATAATGTGAAGCGAGATCACATTAATAGAGGCGGATTACGATCGTAATTTAATGAATCATAGTCAATCACAGCAATAATATACCGTTATTCTACTATTATTCCGTTATTTTAATATTTTTAAAATAAAATTTTTTATTAAAAATATAAACTAATCGCGATATTCGTAATGATAATAATAACATTTGTTATATTCACAAATGTAATAAACGTCATACGACGCGAACTCTATTTAAAACCAACCCCCCCCCCCCACCCAAACCAAGGACAAAGTACCTAAGAAATCTGTCATGAAGATGAGCGGAAAGTGACCTCAAACCCCCCCCCCCTTCTCTCTCTCTCTCTCTTCTTTTTTATCTCTTTAACATTTTGACCTCAAAACCCATACTCGAATCCGCCATATTTGGTTTCTAAGGTCTTATCTTATCATTCTCTTGCCTTTCATTTTGACTTTAGACAAATTCCCACTACTTCAAAATCAAAAGCAATCAAACAACAGCCTCGTATTGTTCCTGTTATTTCCCTTATAAGCTTGGTTTCGCCATCGTGTTTCTTACATTTGCATGTTCATTTTAAGGTAATCTCCTCCTCCTTGCTGGCCTTCTTTTTTCGGTTGCATTTTTGGTTCTGTGAGAAAACAACGAGGGTGCCGGAACTGCCCTCGATAAAGATTGAGGTTTTGGTATTTCTGCAAGTATTTTTTTGAACTGATCTGTTATGGTCATCTGAAATTGAGTTTTTTAATCTGGTTTTTTACTCTTAACTTGTAAAAATCAAATCTTTAAGTGTCTTTTGAATAAAGATAGTTTTGCATGTGGAGTTGGTTTTGAGGAGATTTTCTTTCTGTGAAGCGTTTTTATTTGACTTGTCATGTAGGGAATTTTCTGTAATTTTGATAGGTGTTAGGGTTTTCTTGCGTTAACCAGAATACTTCCGTTTGATGGATTCAAATTTCACTCAGATGTGCTCCTCAAATCAAAAGAATTTTAACCATGATTATTGCATACTCTGCTTTGTATCCCTTTTTGGACTATATTAGCTTTATCTGGATAGAAAACTGCTATCTTGTAGATAAAAGCTTTTAAGCCTCTCTTTTGGTTTCGTTTAGGGATTCCACGTTGAGTGTTTTCTCCAGTTATGCGTGCTAAAGTTACCTCGACTAATCGACAACATATTCCTTAGAGGCATACACTACCGGTGTTCTTAGACTTATCTACTGGAGTAATTATGAACGATTCCCTTTTATGTGGTTCTCTGTAGATTAGAGGCCTGTAGCTATGTCCATAGAAGCCATTGAGAGAATGACATCATTGGGTACCGATGTTTTCTACGACATATTGAGGCGCCTTGATGGTCCAACTTTGGCTGCCGCAGCATGCTCGTGTGCAACTTTTTGTACGATCTCTAGAGAGGAGAGACTATGGAAGAATGTTTGTTCTTCTATGTGGCCTTCAACCAACAGAGAAGATGTTAAAAGTTTGATTTCGTCGATTGGTGGGTTTAGAAAATTCTATGCTGATTGTTTTCCGCTTATTGTTAATAAGGAAGTTACAGAGTATGAGTGGAATGCCCATTGTTTCTCTTCTTTAGAGTACCCCGAAGAATGGACTGAAGCTGAATATTATGGCGACACCGATGGGCTCGAAAGTATTACACCGTTAGATTTTGTTTCAGTTGTGGATATTAGGTATAAAGATAAAACAATCTGCTCAAAAGTGCTGTGGGGTATTCCTAATGCAAATGGATCCAATAGTTGGTTTCACAATTGCCCGTTTCGGATCGATCTTCTTAATTATGCTGCTAGAGATGACGATAGTGAAAGCGAAGTAACACTTTCAGTTTCTGATGGTCTGCCACCGATTACCTCCATGGAAAAGGAAAGGAAAGACGGAAAGCTTTGGCAGGAACTCCAAGACAGCCTCTGCCTTAGTTGGATCATTGTAAACCGAAAAGTTAAGCAAGCCGCTAATCTTGCGAGCTGGAGCCCTCTCGGTGGACAGAGACATTGGCCGACAGACAAGGATTTCGTGATAAGGTTTGGGTCTATTCTTCCTGCCAAAGACATCCTTCCGTGTCAAGTAGTCGAGTGCATTTTTATAATGAAGTTCAGAATCGCACACACTGAAGGCGACGGCGTGGAAACGACTCTCAAATTGACGGAGCTAAGCATGCAGTTGGAAGACATGGAAGGTGCGCATGTTAACGGAAAGAACAGTTTGCTTATTCTCAAGGAAGCTCTAAGCTGTCGTCGAAGCAAAAACTACAGTGAAGTTCTGGAATCGTGTCATCTGTACTCGAAAGTGAAGAGAAAGTTGAAAGAGGAAAAGATGAGGAACGAAAGCAGGTTAGATAGACTGTGTATCTTGAGCGGCATTGCTGCTTTCGTGACGTTTTGCTATTACATATTGTAAATGTAGATGATCTGGACAACCTTTTCCAGAGGATGTTCTAGCAATCTCTGGTTCCTTATGATGTAAAGCTTCAATTTTGGATCAAGTAATAAAAAAGGAGCAAAGTTTTGATCTTTTTGCTTATTTTTTGGGGTATATAATTGTGAAATTTATATATGTAGATAATTTACCTGCAGACTTCTCTGCATTTTTTCTTGATATACAAATTCCTGTCTGCTTTTTTTGAGTTTTTCCCCGTAAATTCTAATGATCAATCTCAAAGTTTTAACCTAACATGGAAGAGATTCGTTTGTGTCAATATTTCGCTGAGTGCTGATAATGAGGTATTGGCAGTTGGGTAGACAGGAGTACAAATCGTTGAGATATGTTTGGCAACTCGTTCCCTCAATGGAGGTTCGATCGATCTGCTGGAACTCTGCAAATTGCTTCACCGGAAACGGAAACATGATCGTGAAGCTGTTTCCGAGGATAACTGTTTGCCTGCTGGAAAGAAAAAGCTCGTTTGATCGGTTCCATCTGAGATGAAGTAAGATCATATTGAAATTCTGGAGCCGATTCTTCTACTTTTGCATTTTCTAACAAGTACCCCCATTAACTGATTAAAAGGGAATGTCGTTCTCTTTTGAAGTTTTGGGTTCAAATAATTGTGTCCGATTCGTTGATAATGATTAAAACAGGTTATAAATAAATATTACCTCCTTACTATGGCATTTAGATATTTGAGGGTGAATGGGAAAAGAATGGTTTTTTGGGGTCTACGTTTGGCACTTCAATTGTCTTAACAAGACTTCAACAAAACGACCCATATATTTCCTCAAGAGATCTAAGAAATCTAACATTTTCTCAGCAGAAGATCTAGATTCTATATCGTGTAAAGGCCACGGTCCACACACGAGTCCTCAATTGCCCAAAGATTTGAAGCTTATTTTCTCCACCCACCTCTTCTCTTTATCTATCTGTTTCTCACTCTTTGTTTCTTTGTTGTTTTATGAGTACTTAGCGATTACAAATGATATTACCTGTGTTCTGAAGACTCTTATTTTCTAAACATGAAAACGTTTGTCTTGGTGTGCACGACTGACTTCCATTTGCTACTGAAATTAAAACAAGTCTTCTTCTCATTTTCATCGGCACTTGCAAAGTATTCTTCGAAGCACCCCACAAAAATAAAAAATAAAAATAATAGGGTAAACTACACATTTAGTATCTAAAGTTTCCCTTTTGGTATGTTTTAGTATTTGAAGTTTCAATGTTTACAAAATCATATCTAAAATTTAATTTTTGCACCCCACCATTAAGTTCCGTGACGTGTCACCACCATATTAAAAATGAAACAAAGGGGAAATGTCCTTAAATAAGTCTACAAGGATTTGAAATGGGGTATACTTGAAGGATGAGCACCCAACCATCTACGATAGGCATAATATTGATGTCAATTTGCTGAAGTTTGTATTTAACTTATATAAACTATAACTATAAAATAAAAGGAATTTATTAGATCTAATTACTTGAACTTAAGACCTATCACAAAAATATTCAAACATTTAACCAATAAATCAGATTAAAAATTGATGTGGTACATACTAAAATTATTATTTAACTTATAAAAACATTTAATTAAAATTAAATAATTTCTCATTTAATTTTAAAATAAAAAATAAAAAATTTATATATCTTATAAGTTTATATTAATTTATTTTAAAAATTAAATTTATGATAGTTATTATAATATAATACAAGTTTTAAATTATTTTAAATAAATATAATTTTATTATAATAAAAATAAGAAATTATTTAAAACTTGTATTCTATTATAATAAATATCATATATTTATTTTTTTAAAAATAAATTAATATCAATTTTATAAATATATAAATATTTATTTAATAAATTTAATTTTAAAATAAATCTAATAAATTTCTTTTATTCTATAGTTATAGTTTATATAAGTTAAATACAAACTTCAGCAAATTGATATCAATAATATCCCTAGCCTAGATGGTTGGGCTCCCATATCTGCTCCCGGGATTCCTAGGTTTAATTCCTGGCAATCTCCTCTGAGATGAATTTACCTTTACTGTATTTCTATGTCACCGCATTATTGGTTGAAAAATTAATTAAATAATAATTTAAGTCGTTAATTTTTCAACGATAGGTATTAAAATAAAACAAAAATTAAACTTTATATATGATTTTATAAAAATTAAAACTTCAGGTACTAAATGCATAATTTACCCAAAATAATAAGATTCCGTATCAAGTACTGCTTTTAATTGCCGCTGAATTAGATTTTTCATTCAATCCGAACTCCAACAGACGCGGCCTCTATCATAAGGTTTTGCATCAACTGCTGGGGGAAACTTGACCCAAAACTTTGGCTCATTGTCCCCAGGTTTTAGATGACTTCAAAACCTTCTTTTTACTTAGTTACAAGCCTTATCATTTGATGATCACAAAAGGCGTTCAAACTCATTAACCCTCCTCTTTCTCTGTTCTCTCGTTGACAATATAATCTGGCATCAACCAAAATGGGTTGGTTTTATTAAATTATCCATGTGACCTTTTGTTAGTCGGCCCATGGTGGACATGATTGAATAAGAAAGGCTAAATTGACAAATTATTATTTTCTCAATTTGATACTTATATTTTCTGTTCAGAAATATCATCTCAACTATTTTTTTCATTGTCTAAATCACTTGAAAACGTTAAATTCTAATATATATATATATAAATTATGAATCAAGGAGTCATTGGATTTTATAATGTTTCTTTTTTTTTAGTATTATGCAGTGGCAGAGTCATTGGATGGACTACCACAAGAGACCACCCGCTATTCTCAGGCCGCCTCCATGATCCTTCAAGGCCAACCAACCCTTTGGGGCGATTCACCGTCAGCCAGTTACACAACAGGTTTAATCCAATTAGCGTTTTCCAAGGGGACAATTGATTCAGACAACCACCAATTCCATGTGGCCGTCCAAGGCACGTCCCAGTGTCTCCTCAAATACATTATGTTTACCGTTCCGTACCCCCATAGCCTGTATCGAGACGACAACTCTCCCAAGATACGTGACACCACACCGGCGCCGGGTTCCTCAAGGGGATCCCCACGGAGGAACTTAGCGTTAATCATGTACTAGCGGAGAGGAGGCGACGCGAGAAGCTGAACGAACGGTTCATTATATCAAGGTCGTTAGTTCCATTCATTACCAAAATGGATAAAGCTTCCATACTAGGGGACACCATCGCGTACGTGAAACACTTACGTAAAAAGATTGAAACACTCGAAACACAAAGCAAGGGAATAGAGGCCAACATAGAACAGTCGAGATCAGAATATTGGCTAAACAGAACGAGTAGCTTGAAGGAATTAAGAAGTGGGATAAGGGTGTCGGAGTCGGAGAGGGCAAGGTCATTGAGTCCGGAACCGGGGAGGGATAAAACTAAGATGAGGAAGACGCAGCAGGTAACGAGGGAGACGACGGTGGAGGTGTCGATAATCGAAAGTGACGCGTTGTTGGAGTTGCAATGCGGGTATAGAGAAGGATTGTTGCTTGACATAATGAAGATGTTAAAGGAGAAGCTTCGGATTGAGATAACGACGGTTCAGTCTTGTTTGAATTAGGGGGTGTTTGTAGCAGAGTTGAGAGCCAAGGTAAACACCATGATCATTATTTCTATTTTCTTTTGGGAATTACACTGACAGTTGTATGCTATGTTTTTTCTGTGAATGTCAGGTGAAGGATAGTGTAAAATGAAAGAAAGTAAGCATAAAGGAGGTGAAGAGGGCCATAAATCAAACAATACAATCATTGTAAAGGATCCATTTCTAAAGTCCAATTATGTTTTATCCCAATCTAATTATTGATTTAACAATATAGGTAATATAATATAACAGTGTACATATCTTCTTTACATTAGAGGGATATTATGAGGTTAAGCTGCAGTTATTCCTTTTGACTGCCAACATAAAAAATAAAAGAAATGCCAAGGGAAACAAACCTGTTCAAGTACAGTGTTTAAACTTGCAAGTGCCCATTAAGCATTCAATGTTCTTCTTCCTAATGACAAAATTGCAGAATTTTACAGAACTTGGGGAAGTAGGACAACCTGGTGATTAAGTTGTACATTGTGGACTCAAAATTTGTTCATGGTGGGCGTATCCCCTTTTGTTTTCTAGTTTGAATGAGAAGAGACTTAATACAACATTTAATGCATGCTTCCATCTCCCTCTTCTCCAAATCTTCTTGTGATAGTAGTCTTCCTACCACTGCCACCGATGTTATCATGAGGTTGAGCCATTTTTCTTAGGAATTGCACCCCCCAAAAGGAAGCGTTATCATGCCAAATATATATATATATGTGTTAAACAACCGAGGATTTTATATTCAGGTACACAAACTTTTAGCTTACTGTAAGTCTGATATTTAAATATTTAGCATAAATAAATACCACCTTAGGCCACAGGGATCTACATATGATTTCTGTCCAAGCAGACAAATCCACTATGCAAGAGCCATACTTCTTTTTAGAATTAAAAGCCACCTATTGCAGACAGAAATTATGCTCAACACTCGAACATTAAACATACATACACCAATAAACAAGGCGTCACAATTATGAAGCTCAAGAAACATTTTAAAGTTCAAACGATTTGAAAGTTCCTTGCTCAGCTTCCACCAAGTTTTTCCTTTCCTATAACAAAAGAGGGCTCTCATTGTCTCTCATCTCTTTCTCTGATCAAACAAGCAAGACAAGAGGTTTCTAATCAAACACCAAGTTATAGGAAAACATAAGAACAAATTTAGAGCTTGTGAATGTTATGAATGAAGCTCACAACACTCAACTGGTCAAAACCCTAAATAAATCCATAAGCTTGCTTTACACCATCTTCCATTGAAGATGTGGAGCTTAAATTGAAGCTCTATGAATTCTAGAACTAAAACTTGTCTTCTTTTGACCAAAATCCTCGACAAAAATGACCAAGATTGCACCTTGAGCCATTGGACTTCCAAAGCTCGGAAGATAAAGGTGAAATGAGAAAGGAAAGATGAAGAAGATGAGTGAAAAAGCATTAAGCTTTTACCCCCAAATTTCTCACGTATGATATAA